ACACCAGGCATTATCGATAGGGAAGAGAGGAATTATGGTGGGGTGTTGTGAGTGGTTAGTTTTAGTTGATGGGATCGTAAGTAGGTAGTGATCCTCCACTTTAGTGAGGTGTGAGGTCTTTAGGCTGTGCGTGATATCTCCTTGACAAACAACGGTGAACTCTCTGGGTCTGAGAAAACCGTAGAAAGCAAGATAAATAGCGGATTTGATGACCAGGTTTGTGTTGGGATCGAACAGGGATTCGTCGAGGAGATTGCTAAGTGATCTAAAGATAGGTCCATCTATAGGTAGCCTTGTAGTGGTGAGTGGAACCGAAACCTATAATATACCTTTCAGGACCTTTTTAATGGGATATGATGACAAGAAGGGGGTGTTGTTAGGAAAATTGGTGAGGCTATGGTGCTGAACCCCGGTGAGGTAAAGTTTAATGGTGTTATGAGAAAGTTTAAGATGTAAATGGCAGAAAGAGGCAAAAGCCACCATGGTTTGTGTAGAGAAGTCGGCTTGTAAACCGAATTCTGCAGTGAATTTGTTAAAAATGGTAAGTGCCCTATTGTATGAGATAGCTGTGTTGGGTGATAGTGCTTGGTGAGTGAGAGTCCTAGCGTGGTATATAAGTGTGCTTAATCCAGGATTAGTTCATGAAATCGTGGTGTCCTGGATGGTTGGTGGTGAGCCGTAGGGAGTGCCTGGAAGAATACCTGGAATTGAGATCGAGAAAGAGCATCAGCGGCCGTGTTGTGGGTGCCCGGGATGTGAAAACAAACTATATGAAACTGAACAGTTGCTGCCAGCCAGGTCAGCTTGCGAATCAGCTGCATGATGGTAAGGGACGATGAACGCCCCTTGTTTATGATTTCGCAAGCCGCCAAGTTATCAGAATAGCATTTTACTGCCTTTGCCGGACCAGAGATGACCCCAGGTGTGCAGCCGCCACGATGGGATGACTGCGAAACCAGTGTTGGCTGCAGCGTCTGTGTGGATGATGGGTGAACAAGTGGATAGAGGGGGGATAAACATGGAGATACTGTTCCAATCTGTCAAAAACTTCCCCCACATAGCTAAGTCGGCCTTTGCGTAGGGGTCCAAAGAAACTGGGCAAGAGTCCGGTACCCCGTGGAGCAGGCAAAGAAGCCTGGATATAAAAGACCTTCCCTGCGGGATGATGCGCATGGCGAAGTTAAGGGATCCCAGAAGGGACTGAAGTTCCCTTCTGGTGCAAACATCATTCCGCAGGAACATGTCTATCTCCCCTCTCAAGCGGATCAGTTTGTCGTGAGGAAGGCTAGCTCAGAGGGTAACAGAGTCTAGCTCTATCCCCAAAAAGGTTAATTTAGTTGTGTGGCCGATTGTTTTTGATGGAGACAATGGTACACCAAGTGTGGAAAAAAGTACTTTAATACTGCTGATAGCGGTGGGTGTTTGTGCCCCTGGCTCTATCAGTAAGAAGTCGTCTAAGTCAGTGTTTCCCAACCCAGTCCTCAAGGCACACCTACCAGTCCAGGATTTAGGAATTACCCAGTTGTGTCTAAGGTGTTTTTACAAAGAAGAAAAAAAATACCTTAGACACAACTGGGTAATCCCTAAATCCTGGACTGGTAGGTGTGCCTTGAGGACTGGGTTGGGAAATACTGGTCTAAGTAATGGATAACAGAGTGACACCTGAGGACGTTCAGAAGCAGCCAGCATAGCGTTTCAGCGAAGATATCGAACAGTTTGGGGCTGCTTCTAGAAGCGAAAGTGAGTCGAGTGGAGAAGTAGTACTTTTCTCGCCATTTAACACCGTGCAAGTGCCAGAGTGAGGGGTGCATGGGTAGTAATTTAAAAGCCGTTTTGCTGAGCCGGGGCGACTACCAGATGAGATAATGGATTGTATGGCATCGTCAATTGTTACATACTGAAGTGAGAATAAGTCTGAGGGTATGAGTGCGTTTATGCTGGGAACAAAAGAGGAATGCGGTGCCGATAAATCAATAATTAGATGTTTTTTATTAGAATATTTGGGTACTGCGACACCAATGGGGTTAGTGCGCCAGGAGGAAAACGGTGAGGAGGTGAAGGGGCTGATCATGAAACCGTTGGTAATTTCTGAAGAAAGGAGGGTATCTGTGGAGATTGGATCTTGGCATGCTGACAATAAATTGGGACATTCCAGTGTGCCCGTGGGGATGGCTACAATACCCCTGATTTGTTGTGAGGGGTGAAAGTGGGATTAGGGGTGAGAGTGGAGGTGGTGGGATAGTTTTAAATATGTTTATTGTCAGCAATATAAACACGGGTGTTGAACTTGGTATCATTAATGCATATAGTTGCCTACGCAGAGGCGTGCACATTGAAAGTGTACATAATGTGAGGCCGACATATTCCAGTTAGCTCAGAGTAACACATAGTTGCCTGCGCAGAGGCGTATAAGTTAAAATAAACATGCAATGACAAATATTAGATATTTATAAGCCTTGCAGAGCTAGACATGCAGAAGGTGGTGAGCTTGCTTGGTATTGCGTTGTTAGGGCGTTGTTGTCAGGTATGTAGTGGCAATTTGGGGTGGCAGTTAGTATCATGTATTCAGCTATCGACTCATTAAATGGTGCTAGTGTGGCTCGTTAATAATACACTGTTTTCTTCTGAGATGCCTGTGTTTGCGTATTTATCCCTGTTACCATAAACTGCAGTGAAGGCCCATCTTGCGAAAATGAGTTAGTGTTTACGCGTTCTGGTCTTTTGTCTGTAGCCCTGAGTTCTAGTGTGTCTCGTGGCTACCAGCTCGTGCATATTGGGGTTGTATTTGTTTTGTATGTTTCGTGTCCTTCCCCTCTGCTGGTGATGGTGAAACCTTCTGCGGTAAGTCTGTCTCCTCTATTGCGTGTTTCCATGGTTATGTCTATGTTGTGTTGCTTTATTCTGGAGCTCTGTGTGTCTGCCTCTATTGTTGCGTCTTTGTGATTCCGGTTTGTGTGTCTGAGTCACTGTCTGTGTGTCGTGGTGCCGTCGCGTTGAGGTGGGTTCACCTGTGTGCGTGGTTGTGTGTTGTCCTGTGGATTTTGGGGTGGATCAAAAAGGTCTGTGTTTGGGCTGTGGATGTGTGTGGCGCTCAGATCGTGTGGTTTCGCAACTCTCGTCTGGTGTTATCTGACCGCAGTGGCCGTTTGCTCTATGTCTTGGCTGTCCGTGTGTTTGTAGTGGGTCTTGGTTCAGGCTGCGTAGTTTGAAGTCTTGGCACGCTGCCGCTCGTATGTGTTGTGTGTTCACTTGTGTATGTCCCCGACTGACCTTCTCATTGTCCCGCCTCCTGTTGTCCTTTGGATATACGACTATATGTGGCGGCAAGTTGTGTTTCGTGTATGTGCATGTGGGTGTTGTGGGTTGGTGATGGTGGGCGATTCCGACCCCTGTCGCCGTCTCGGTTCGCCGGTCCCCAGCTTTTCATGTTAGTGCCGTATTTATTTAGGCTTAATACTCTCCTCCTTAGTCTACTGCATCGCCATGCGGTTACGAAAAGCGTCAGTGGTGGTTAGTCTAAGCCAGTGAAACCAGCGTTTGGTGTAGCGATCTCTAAGGCTCGGGGTGGTTGCCTTCACGTCTTCGAATTTCCTGGTTGCTTCCACCTCTTCCACCCATCTTGCGATGGAGGGTGTGGTGGCCTGCTTCCAGTATATTGGGACCGTTGCTTTGGCTGCGTTTAATAGCCGTGGGATGACCGATTTACTGTACGTCGGTATAGACATATCCGTGTGGTGTAGGAGGAACGTTGCTGGGGAACTCGGGAGCATTTCGTCAGTTACTTCATGTATTACCTCTCTAATCGTGTTCCAGAATGGTCGGAGTCGGGAGCACTTCCACCAGGTGTGTATGAATGTTCCTCTCTCTTTTCCACATCTCCAACAGGAGTCTGTGGCTTCCGGATTCCTGGCGTGTATCGCCGTCGGTGTCAAGTACCATCTGGTGTATATTTTGTATGAGTTTTCTTGCAGCCTTGCCGAGCTAGGTGTTTTTTGTATCAGGGTGATGTTTTTGTCCCAGGCTGCTTCTGTCATGGGTTCTTCCAGGTCTTCCTCCCAGTTTCTCATACAAGGGGGTGCCAGTATATACCTTCCTGTAACCAGCATTGCATATATCTGTGAAATGGCACGTGGGGTTTTCGGTTTCTTGCGTACAGAGTAGTTCGAATTGTGTGGGGTCTCTCAGTAATGATGGTTTTTGCGGGATAGACCGAGCATATCCTACTATTTGTGCTCTCGCCAGTGTGTGTGCAAAGGTAAGCGTTCGATCAGGAAAAAGGTCTGTGACGCCGCGGACTTCAAATGGGCGTTGGAGGACATCCATCATGCGGGGAGTCGTTGTGCGTCCCCTCAGGCCTGGCATGGGGCCGTGGTCTCCTGCTGGGAAGTCTGGGTTTCCTCTCAACGGCAGTAGCGGGCCTGGATCCGTCGTGAGGTATTGCTTCGTGCCTTGCCTGTGCCAGACCTTCATGGTCGCCGCCACGAATGGGTTGGTAATGTGTTTATGTTTGTAAGCGGCTCTGGGTATCCACGGTAGCGTGCGGAGGTCACAGTCAGTGATGTCGGATTCTAGCTGGGTCCATGGTTTCGTTCCGCTGGCTACCGACCAGCTGACGATTCTGGTGAGGTGCGCTGCCTGGTAGTACTTTTCGAAATCAGGGAGCGCCAGGCTTCCTCGAAGTTTAGGCAGGGTTAGTTGAGCGTGTGCTATGCGTGGGGATTTGCCCTTCCATACGAACTTGCGGACCTCCGCCCGTAGCGTCTTAAAGAAGGCTTGTGGGGCTAGTATCGGCACCGTTTGGAACACGAAGAGAAGTTTCGGTAGTAGCGTCATCTTTACGGCGTTTACTCTTCCTAGCCACGATGCGTAGAGGGAGCTCCATTTATTTAGTTCCTCCGTTGCTTTTTTAAGTATAGGGAGGTAGTTGTGGATGTAAAGGTCTCCCGGGGTGGGAGTGAGCCACACCCCTAGGTACCGCATACGGAGGTTGCACCAGCGGTACGGGTGTAGTCTTTGAAGTGTCCGTTTGTGGGCTTGATCTATGGTGAGGTTGAGGATCTCCGACTTAGTGTAATTTATCTGAAGGTTGGAGATCAGCCCATATTCTTTAAATTCTGCCTGTATCTCCGGTAAGGTGGTCTCTGGACGTGTGACCACAAACAGCAGGTCGTCCGCATATGCTAGCGTTTTGTGTTGTATCTGTCCAACTGTGAGGCCCTGTATGTTTACGTTCTGTCTGATCCTCCGCAGAAACAGCTCCAGCGTCAACGCGAAGATTAGGGGAGAAAGTGGGCACCCCTGTCTGGTTCCATTATATATCTGGAACGGGTCCGTCAGTGCCCCGTTTATCCGGATTCGTGCCGTTGGGTTGGTATAGAGGGCCCGTACCCATGTAAGGTAGTGAGGTCCCATCCCGTAGGCTTGGAGGGTCTCGAACATCATATCCCAGTCCACCCTGTCGAACGCCTTTTCCGCGTCTGTGGACAGGAGGAGGGTCTGTGTCTCGAGTGTTCTAGCGTGTGCGATGATGTTCAGGGCTCTGATGGTGTTGTCACGCACCTCTCTGCCCGGGATAAACCCTGTTTGGTCCGGGTGGATTAAGTCTGGTAGTAACGGCGCTAGTCTCGCTGCCAGGATGCTCGCCAGAAGTTTGATGTCTGTATTAAGCACCGAAATCAGGCGGTAGTTTGGGCACAATGTCGGGTCTTTGCCCTCCTTTGGTAGCAGGGTAATGTTTGCTGAGGTGAACCGGGCCGTAGGTGCAGCTCCGTCCTGTATGGAGTTCAGGGCTTTAAGTAGTTTCGGCTGAAGCTCTTGCGTGAAGACCTTGTAGTATTGGAGGGGCAGTCCATCTGGCCCCGGTGCCTTCCCCGTTTTGGCTTTCTTGATGGCGTATGCCAACTCTTCGGGTGTTATAGGCGCTTCTAGCGCGTCTTTCTCTGCTCCTGTTATATCTGGCATGTTTGCTGAGTTCAGGTACTGGCGTATGTCTGCCGTTTTCTGATGTCTCTGGTCGTCCTGTGCTTCCTTGCGGAGGTGGTAAAGGTCTTGGTAGTATCGTTGGAACTCCGTTGCTATTTGGTCTGGGAGGTGTCTGATTTGCTGCTGTGCGTTTTTTATTTTCGGTATATACAGTTGTGTCTTACGTTGCCTCAGGAGGTTCGCCAGCAGTCTCCCGCACTTGTCTCCGTGTTCATGTATCATGTGTCTGTAGTGTTCGTACACGCGTTGGATCCTCCTGTTAAGGTGCGCTGTGAGCTGGTTGCGTTTATCTGTTAGCTCTCTGTATATTGTTGTTTCTAAGGTTCGTTTATGTCTGGCTTCCAGGGTCGCAATTTCGCTGCTCAGCCTGGTTATTTCCCGTACCGCCGTCTTTTTGCGGTTCGCGCATATTGCTATAATCTGACCTCGTACTACCGTCTTGTGTGCTTCCCAGCATGTCATTGGTGTCACATCCTCCGTTTCATGAGCTTGGAAGTAGTCTCGTATGGTTTGGCCTATTTTATCAGTCACTGTCACATCCGATAGGATTGATTCGTTCAGTCTCCAGGACATCTGTCTGGGCTTAAATAACGGTGATGCCATCCATATGCGGATCGGGCAGTGGTCCGACCACGTCATCGGCAGGATGTCTGCTGCCTTGAGTAGGGCCAAGTTGTGGTGTGCTATTAAGAAGTAGTCTAGCCTCGTGTATGTTGCGTGGGTCTGTGAGTAAAATGTGTAGTCCCGCGTTGTTGGGTTCAGCGCTCTCCAGCAATCCGCCAATTGGTGTTGGTGCAGTAGACGGAGTGTGTTCGCGTGTCGATTATGCGGGGTTTTGCCGAGTGCCGATGTGGAGTCTTGGTCTGGGTGCAGAGTCAGGTTCAAATCTCCCCCCACGAACAGAGTGCCTTCTGCGAACTTCATCAGGGTGTTCAGTGCGTTCCGAAGGAAAGGGAACTGTTTCGTGTTCGGGGCGTATATATTAGCGAACGTGTAGGTTTGTTCGAGGATCGTGCCTTTAGTGAAGGTATACCTGCCCTGTTTGCATCTTACTGTGGCTTGTTCCGTGTATGGGGTTCTGCTGGAGAATATGATACCCACTCCCAGTGTGCGTCTGTCCGGGTTGTTGCTAAAATATCCCGTTCTAAAATTGCGGTCTCGCAGTGCCGGTGCTCTGCCTTCTTGAAAGTGCGTTTCTTGGAGAAACACTATTGACGCCCTGTAGTGTTTCAGATCCCGCAGAAGTCTTGTGCGTTTCTCTCTGACGTTTAAGCCGTGTACATTATATGAGAGAATGGTTAGGTCTTCCCTGGCGTAACCGCCAGGACCTGGGTCCGGCATCCTCCGGACGGCCACAGGGGTGGGTGAGTCTGTTGCGTGGTTCGGTTGGGAAGTGTGTGAGTGTGTGGTGGTGTGTTGCTGAGTGTGTAGTTGGTGTTGCGTCTATTCACGACACCTATATGGCCTCTGTATTACAGTAGGGTAATGGACAATCGTCCCAGGTATTCGACCGCGTAGCCCGGCCTGCGAGAGGGGGCTGGTCTATTCCGGGAGTAGTGTATCCCCTGATAGGTGGGGATCCCTATGTCTTATGCCTGTGGGGGAATCGGGCTTACCGTCTGCGACGGCTCAGTCCGCTTCTGAGTTCCTAGAAGGTCTACGTGTATGTATTAGTACTGTGCGCAGTCCTTAGTCTGTCTCCTGGGTGGCTATTTACTCGGAGCGCCCGCTCCGTTTCTTAGTTTGTCGATTATGGGTTCGATTATGAGTGTGTGTCTCGTCTGTTTGCATCTGAGCTGTTACTTTTTGTCCGTCATCTGCTCACGTGTGTGTTTTGGATTGTTTGGAGCCAGCTTGGAATGGGTCTCGCTATTTCGCGAGGTGGGGACGCTGTGGTATGGGGTGCCTCGTGGGTCGAATCGGGCCTGTGGGGTTCCTTTGTTCGGGTTAGTCCTTTGTTTTGGGTGGAGCTTTGAGTCTCTGGTCTAAGGTTTGTCTGCCGTCTCCGCACTGTCTAGGGCCGCGGTGGGTGTTGGTGATGTCTGGGGGAGGGCACCTCCGTCGTCTAGTCGCCTGTAGTAACTATTTCGTCGTCATTTATTAGCCTTGGACAGGTCCTAAGACCTGAGTGGCTCTGGATCCGCCTGGAGGCTGGCTCGAGCCAATTTGTATGGGTTTCAAGCATGCGCCTAACATTGCGCGTTGAGCTGTAAGCACCGTGTAAAGGGCGTAGCTTTTTTATTTATTTATTTTATTTATTTTTTATTTTATTTATTTATTTATTTTTAAATATTAATATATCATGGTACAGGGATTTCGTGTACTATCATCGCTGCCTCCGTATATAGCCATGTCTCCCCCTCCCTCCCCTAACCTTTTAATACAGTCCCCTCTCCCCTTCCTTTAGTATTCCCACCCTGTATTCTCCCGTTTTCCGTTGTTTATCCTTGCTCCCACCCTTTTTTGTTTCATGCGCTTCCATCTTACCCTTATTGATCAGGGGCCCCTTAACTCCCCTCCTGCTACTCTACCCTCCCACACCTCTCCCTGCCCCCTACTCCCCCTTCCCCTTGCCAAGTTCCCTTTTGCGCTGTGGGTTTGCACGGCCCTGGAGGCCTTCGGAGTTGGAGGTGGTGGGATAGGCTTCTGAAGGACATAAGTCTGCCGTATTAGATGTAGAGTTACATACGGCGCAAGACGGGGGCCTGAAACCAGCGAAGTGGCGACAGAATAGTTCTGTGTCCATCTGACACCAGTTAATTCTGACATTGAACTGTTTCAGATGGGTCGCCGCCTTCGCTGATACCGACTTATGATAGTCGTAAAAAGAGGAGCCCCCGTACTTGATGCCTAAATCCACCACCTTGTGGAGGTAGAGGTCTAGCTCTTCTCTTCTGTGGGGATACACCGTGCAGATGACATCACAGTATATCCCAAAGGCAATCACGAACTGAGGTATGGTTAGTTGTCTGGGGTCTCTAGTCTTAAGCACCACTGAGATGTCCCCGTAATTGTATGCCCTGTTCTCCAGTATGTCTTGGGATGCAATAAGCAGAGACACCAGACACACATCCTTCCCATCTAGGATTTCTTTCCTGATGGAGTCTGGGACAGAGTGAGCTGGTGCCTCGAAAGGAGAAATAGCTGTGGCTGGTGCTGGAGAAGGGAGTATGGGGGTGCATGGTGGTACAGCAGTGACTGCCGTGATGGCGACTGGGAGGCCCGGGGTATTACCTTGGGAGGCGATGGCACTCTCCACCTTAGACAGCCTGTTATTTAAAGTCTATAAGTTGGCCAAGATTGCTGCTAGGGTATCCTGGGTGGCCGTGCCAGCGCTTGGTGGCTGTCCTTGAGAGCTAGGGCCTGGCCTAGGTTCAGGGAGCAGTCTGTAGAGTTCCGCCTTTCTAGCCGTAGCTGGAAAGGGGATTCCCCTGAGCCTAAGTTCGGCCGTAATTTTAGGGATAGTCCATGCTCTCAAGGACGTGGAAGTTGAGGGGATGAGAGATTCGCATGGAGACTCTGGTCTGATGGGCGTAAATGGGATCTCATTGGGCAACTCTTCGATGAGGGCTGGTTCTTGAGACATTCTAAAAATGATTCAGTGAATGAGATATTAGAAGGTGAGTAGGGGAACCGGGAGGGATATGAGGGGGGTATTTTATGAACTGGACTGTAATGCTAATGCCGAAGCGAAAAACTTAACTGTGAATTTTTGATAGGTGAGGCCCTGCTAATGCAAAGTGGCGGTGAGAGGCTCTACCTATGATTTGGCTTAGAGAAATCATGGCCACAGACGTGGTGTTGGCCTCTCGGTGACTGTAAAGAGATTCAAAATGTGTGGCCATGACAGGTGAGGCCCTGACTACAGCCCTGTAGTAGGGCGGGCGAGGCTTATAACTATGATTTGGGCATGGGGTCGTACCTCCGTGTTGAGGTGGGAGATGGCCTCGCTGGACCGGATTTTTTACTAGGGTGAGCTAGGACGGTAGCCTAGACCCTGCAAGCCAGTTCACTTGTATACTAAAGGTTGAATTCTGGTGTAATGTGTGGATACTAACCTTGAAGGGTTTATAATAGAGAGCTGGAACCTTTGAATGTTTTTATGTAGCGAGTCTTGGCTGCTGCTGTCCTCGTAGAAGAAGCCTAAGAATTAAGACAGATGTTGATGTATTTGTGCGTAACGTGATGGCGTATGATTTGTGGTAAGGGTTGGCTGTTAGGGGCCTGGTAGTGTGGCTGAGTACCGGGTTAGGTAGGTTGGGTAATTTCTTGCCTGATGGCAGTATGACCGTATTTCTGGGTAAGAAAAATGTAGAGAATTTAACACACCCAAGACGTAGGACCTTGAGTTAGTCGTAGTGAATCGAGACCGCATTAGGTCTTGTATGAAAAAAGGTCCTGTAAAGAGTAGACAAACATACGTTGATTTGTTCTACGGTTACTAGGATGAGCGTAACTGGTGTTCCTGCGTAGAATCAGGTGGAGGCCTAGAATAATTCTGGAGCTATGGATTAAACCCATTAAATATTTAATAATTAGCGAATGCTGTGACAGTATGTTATAAATACCCAATTTTTACTGTGATAAGTTTAGAGTGCATGCAGTATTGAGGCATGGACATGGTTGACACCATGGTGAGTAAATACTATACCTGGGTTTGTAAATACAAGACCTTGAATTTGCTAACTTTAAGCAGAAATAATAGAACCGAGGCAATCTGTGGAGCCAAAGAAATGTGACAGGGGCAGGATTAATGATTGCATAACTTTAAGGAGAAAACGTAATAGATTAAAAAATAAAATTTGTTTTAATTGATAAATGAACGTAAGACATGAATTACTAACCACGTGGGTGTAGAAAAAAGAACTGATTACTAAGATACAGTGGCTATGGTTTTTTATATTTAGACAAAGTTAACCGGAAAACACAGTTTAGGTGATAAATGGTTGTAGTTTTAAAAAGTATTTAATAACTCCTACTGACAGGTAGTGCAAACAGTTAAATAACCGAACAGACAGAATATGTAATAAAATGAATTCGTGTGCACGAAATGTTTGTATTATACTGAACGGGGATCGGTAATTTTAGCCCAACGTGGGACCTGCTATGGTT